GTGACACACGGGGATGGGGGCAGCCAGCGCTCAACCTGTCATCCACGTGGCTGGCCTTGTACGTAAGAGGTTATGAACAGGTGGAGCTTTCCTTACCTCCTTCCCCTTCCCCTTGTTTCCTTTTCCTTTTTTCTTTTCCCTTTTTTGCGCTCTGATTTACAATGTGACAATATATAATCATTTTTTCTTGTTTTTCTTTCTTTTTTCCTTTTTGTTCGCATTTGCGCTCTGATACTCTTGTGACAATATACGATATATATCTGTTTGTGACGATATGACGATATATATATATGTCCTCTTCTCTCTCTCTGCCTATGGTTTACCGGGCAGTTCTGTTTGTGACGATATATAAGCAGGTAGCGGTGCTTCATGTGGGACCAGTCATCCGGGCTTTTTGGCATCCTGGTTGGTTGTTTCCCGTTGTTCGGCCCTTTGGAAAGTGGGGCGGTGCTTGCATGTGGGAATCATCATCCAGGATTGTTTTTTATACCTGTCCTCCGGGTTCTTTTTGATTTTTTTTGCCTCCGGGTTCTTTTTGATTTTTTTTTGCAGACAAGAATGCTTGACATCCTGGTTGGTCTTGTCCCGTCGTTTGGCCTGTGGGCAGGGGCGGCGCTTGCATGTGGGACTTGTCATCTGGAATCTGTTTTGCTGCCCCCTGTTCTGTATTATTTGGCTGTTCCATTCCTCTTTTCTTTGCCTCTTTGCCTTTTGGCTGTGTGCAAGTGGATCGATATGACACACGGGGGTGGGGGCAGCTGCCGCTCAACCTACATCCACGTCGGCGGCCTTGTACGCAAAAGAGGTTCTTTCTGAACAGGGGGAGTTGTAAGGAAGAAGATAAAAAATGAATTGATATCTTTTTTGTTTTTCTTTGTTTTTTTCGCTTTTGCGCTCTGATATTTATGTGACGATATGTATAGTGTGACAATATATATGTACGCAAGAGGTTCTGAACAGGGGGAGTTATAAGGAAGAAGATAAAAAAACTGAATTCAGTTTTTTCTGTTTTTCTTCCTTTTTTTCTTTCTTTTTTTTTTGCATTTGCGCTCTGATATTTTTGTGACAGTATATATATATATCTTTCTGTCTATCAGTCGGTGAATCTCCAACAAAACAGCCTGTCACAGCACTGCCCCCCCCTATTCTTGACCTTTTCTCCCTAGCTGGGGCGTTGTCTATGACTATATATAAACTCCGACGAAACAGTCTGTCAACAACCCCTCGTTTGTTATCCTCTTTTTTCTCCCTCTGCCTACAGTTTACCGTGCAGTTCTGTTTGACGATATATGTGTAACATTGTGTATATATACATACATATATGTTTATATATGTATAATATGTGTACATGTAGTGATGTGACAATATACAGTTCTGTTTGTGACGATATATATAGTCAAACAGAGCTGCCCAGTAAACCGTAGGCAGAGAGGGAGAAGAGGACAACAAACGAGGGGCTGTGACAAACTGTTTCGTCGGAGTTTCACTGACTTATCAGGACGCTGAACCCTCTCTCTATATATGTCGTCAAATGTACACATATGAACAGTTTGTCACAGCCCATTTTTGTGTCCTCTTCTCCCTTTCTGCCTATGTTTTACCGGGCAGTTCCGTTTGACGATATATATATCATCACATGGATATGAGAGCGCAAAAGCGAAAAGAAAAAAGAAGAAAGAATGAATTCGTTTTTTTATATCTTCTTCCTTACAACTCCCCCTGTTCAGAAAGAACCTCTTTTACAAGGCCGCCCGTGTGGATGTAGGTTGAGCGGCGGCTGCCCCCACCCCCGTGTGTCATATCGACCCACTTGCACAGCCAAAAGGCGAAGAGGCAAAGAAAAGAGGAAGGGAACAGCCGAATAAAACAGAACAGAGGGCAACAAAAGAGATGTCAAAACATTCTTGTCTGCAAAAAAAATCAAAAAAAGCTCTGATCCCAGTGTGACAACCAAAAGGAAAAAAACGACAATCCTGGATGACGATTCCCACATACAAGCACCGCCCCACGCTCAAAAGGCCGAACAATGGGAAACAACCAACCAGGATGCCGAATAACAAAATCGAAGCAGACAAGATTAAAACAAATCCAATATATGTATATTTATGTATGTATATAGCGTCGTAGCGATGATGCTGCTTTTTCTTTTCATGACTGGTTGTTAGTTATCCTCTCTTGTTTTTAATTGTTTTCCTTTTGTTGTAATTTTGAGAACAGACCAGCCCTCTTGTTATTGCGAGCTTGAAAGTAAATTTATGTGCTGCTTTGCACTGGTAGTTGATGTAATTCTCTCTCTCTCTCTCTTTTTTTTTTTTTTTTGTGTGTGTGTGTGTGTGTGCGTGTGTGCGTGTGTGTGTTTGAAAGAGCGGACAAGCATTCTTATTCGTTTATTTACCATAATCAAATAATCTTCCTTTCCCTTTTTGTTTCCAGAACAGACTACCGTCTTCACCTGAATAGAATGCCCGGCGGTGTTGGGTCGGCAACCGGATGCAACCGGGCCGGATCGACCCAAGGCCTCCAACCGGAATTCCGGTTGGGCTCGAAACTGGTCCATTTTTTTTTTTTTTTTTTTTTTT